AGAGGGAAAAGCAGGCTTCCTGCTGAGCAGGGAGCCCAACCAGGCGCCTGAGAAGGTCCTTTTGTGGATAAGTCTGGAGGTGGGGAAAAAGTGCAAGTTGAACTAAGGTTCAACTTAGTTCTCCTCGGTGAGTCACATACAGAAACTACACCAGGTGGAACTGTCATACAAAGAAAACTTTATTTGTAGCAGACAAGGAGATCACAGGGAGCAATTTCCAAAGCTGCAACTCCCTGAGCAAGGGAGAATGTGTTCTTTTTATTTAGGGTTAGGATGAATATTTAGAAAGAGGAGCCCGGGGCGCCTAGGTGGCTCAGTCCTTAAGGGTCTGCCTTGCACTCAGGTCATGATCCCGGGGTCCTCAGGTGGAGCCCCGCATCAGGCTCCCCGCGCAATGGGAAACCTACTTCTCCCTCTCCCACTCCCCCTGCTTGTGTTCCCACTCTCCCTGTCAAATAAATAAAAATCTTAAAAAAAAAAAAAAAAAAAAGAAAGAAAGAAAGAAAAGGAAAGAGGAGCCCTGCCATGGTGGGGGGGTGGGGAGAGCATAAGTTCACACATGCACCTTAAGGTGATGTGCCTAGACGTGTGTTGTGCTCTTCCCTGGGCAGAGATTTTAGCACCATAATGAGGTGAAGGTGACTGTCAGTCGTTCCCTGGGTCACTCCATGCATGGTCCATCTGTGCAGGCAGGAGTCAGGGGTTAAACTCAAACTGGTCTGGGCAGTCTGAGCGGTTATTGCTCCAGGGGTAGAGTTTCGGTTTATAGCCACCGGGTCTTGTCTGAGTTAAGAGATAAACTGGAAAGAAGGGCTCCAGGAACAATGGGGGATAAAGATCAGTGGGTATAAGCAGAACAGTAAAGGTCAAGTCCTGGGATCTAACTGCTAACCAGGGCAGTGGCAAGGAGCCCACATCCAATCGTCCCTCTTCACTACTGAAGTCGTCCGGCTTGCCAGTTGACAACGAGAGGGATAAACAGAATGATGGAGGCTTTGGGAAAGGACACTGAAGGGACACTGCGGGATGCTGGCAGTACAGGGAAAGCTAAATAAATAAATATGCCCTGGAGACACCAAGGACTCAGCCAGGGCTGCAAACCATGATTTTGTCACTGAATCCATGAGTGAGGTTGCGGGTCTCCTCTGGAACTGCGGGGCAGGGAAGCAGGGATGGGCTCATGCAAGACCGGCAGCAGTTGGAGGGGGCCAGCGATCCCCAGGGCACAAGAGGTGGGGAGGGCGGTGAGAGTGTATTTGAAGTGACTGACGGTGGAATCTGCACCCGCGACAAGAAGTCAAAGGAGCGCTGATAAACTGAGAGGACAGAGAAGACAGAGGAGGGGAGAGCCTGAAGAGGTTGGAAGTAAGTTTGATGAAACGGAGGAGTGAGGACATGGGGGTTTTGAGCAGAAAGCAGAGTCTCAGGGTTCAAGATGTCAAGGGCAGGATGACTCTGTGGCATAAGTTCCAGAATGTGGCCTTGCTGTAGTGGCACAGAGGGGACAGTCACCGCAGAGAGGATGGGAGGCTAGACTACCTTCTTTACGGATCCTGAAGTCAGTCTGGGAGAGCTGTAAGTTTTAAAATGGTGAGGACAGGGGTGCCTGAGTGGCTCAGTCATTAAGTGTCTGCCTTCGGCTCAGGTCATGATCTCAGGGTCCTGGGACTGAGCCACACATCAGGCTCCCTGCTCAGCAAGAACCCTGTTTCTTCCTCTCCCACTCCCCCTGCTTGTGTTCCCTCTCTCATTATGTCTCTCTGCCAAGTAAATAAAATCTTTAAAATAAAATAAAACAAAACAAAATAAAATGCTGAGGACAGTTCCTATTCTACCCAGATTCATGACATTTAAAAAACCGATAAACACGCAATCATTGATATCATGGATGAAATCACTGATAAAATATTTTTTTTTTTTTAAAGAAAAATCTCTGCAGGAGACAGAGATTCCTGAATGGCATCACACTAAGGGACCAGAGACTCAGAATGGAGGGGGGCTACTCTCATTTGCAGGTTGGGGTGCCCTGGCTTTAGGACCCCACCCACCTAAGGAGTCTGATCTGGGGAGCCCAGCACTAAACCAAACCCCCTCTTTGACCTGAAGGCACCTGTACCTCACACTCAAGGGAATGGCCAGACCCTGTTCCTGCTGTAAATGCCTACCGTTGGCTCAGAAGAAATGGATTTAAAGTACTAAGCAGACATTCATGGGGACCAGCCACAGCACCACTTCCCCCACAAAGATGTTTATCTTTAAAGAGGCCTGTAGTGCAAGCCTAGGCCCTCAGTAGCTCTGCTGCTTGGTTTTAAAATTTACTAGAGCTACTTCAGCAGCAGATGAAAGACCATATGCTTTTGCAAGAGGCTGTTACTCTCTCGGGGTTGGACTAGTAGTTTTATTTTTCTCTCTCTTCCTCCCCCTTCTTTTTGCCTTAGAATCTTTTTTCAAATTATAACTTGCATCGAATACAGATACCTAAGTAGCAAAAAGCACAACTATGCTGATTAGGGCCAGGGGGATCTATAGGCCAGCTCATTCACCTTCTTTTTCTCTGCCTCCAAACCACCTTCCCATTCAGCCATTAAAAATTAAAAATGATGGTCATTCAGATTTCATAGGAACATGGATTAAAAGGCTTAGGATAGTGTGAAAGTTTTTTAAATCAGAGCAAAAAGAAAATCAGTTAATATCCAAAACATAAAGGAAGTGTACAACTCAACAGCAAAAAAAAAAAACTGTCTGGGGCACCTGGGTGGCTCAGTCAGTTAAGCTTCTGCCTTTGGCTCAGGTCATGATCCCAGGGTCCTGGGATCAAATCCCACATCTGGCTCATTGCTCAGCAGGGAGCCTACTCTCCCTCTGCATGCCATTCCCCCTGCTGTGCTCTCGTTCCCTATCTCCCTCTCTATCAAATAAATAAATAAAATCTTTTAAAAATAAAAAATAAAATAAACGCTCTAATTGAAAAATGGGCAGACGATCTGAATAGACATTTTCCCAAAGAAGACCTCCAAATGTCTAGGAGGCACATGAAAAGATACGCAACGTCACTAATCATGATGGAAATGCAAATCAAAACCACAATGAGATAGCACCTCACAGTTAGATAGGATGGGTGGTATCAAAGAAATGAAAAATAGCAAAAGGTGGTGAGGATGTTGAGAAAAGGGAACTCTCATGCACTGTCAGTGGGAATGCAAATTGGTGCAGCCACGTGGAAAACAGTATTGGAGGTTCCTCAAAAAATTAAAAACAGAATTATCACATGATCCATTAATTCTACTTCTGGGTATTTATCTGAAGAAAATAGAAACACTAACTCCAAAAGCATGTGATCTCATTTATATACAGAATCTTCAAAAAACAAAACAAAACCAAACAAAAAACAAAAAAGCCCAAGCTCACAGATACACAGAACAGATTGGTGGTTGCAAAATATGGAAGGAGGAGAGGGTAAGGGTAGCTGAAATGGGTGAAAGACATCAAAAGGTACAAATATAAATAAAAGTAATGGGAATGTAATATACAGCATGGTGACTATAGTCAATAATACTATATTGCATATTTGAAAGTTATTAAGAGAATAAATCTTAAAAGTCCTCATCACAAGAAAAAATTTTTTGTAACTACCTGTGGTGACAGGTGTTAACTAGACTTACTGTGGTAACCATTTCCCAACACATACAAACATAAAATCATTATGTTGTAGACCTGAAACTAATATAATGTTATGTCAATTATACTTAAATTAAAAAACTCTACATACAATATGATTGTAATTATATAAAACCAATCTATAAAATGGGGCAAAGACTAGCAGGAAATACACCAAAGTGCTAACAGAGGATGTGGTCCACATTTCCCTCTGCTCTGTTCTGTATTTCAGAAAGTTTTATACAAGAAAAAACTTCTAAAATGAGAAAAAGTTTTAATATTCAAAAATGTTTAAAACAAAGATGATTCCTTCCCTACCATAGGGGTTTCTTTACATCACTTCATGTCCCTAACTAAATGTACAGAGAAATAATATACTTAAGAATTATTGGTGTTTTCATTTATTTACATGTATTTATTGAGAGCTATTTAAGAGCAGGTCACCCCCTGGATATTAGGGATTTTGGGTGAACAGGAAAAATTCTCTGCTTACATGGAACTTATATTCTACTGGAGGAACATGGTCAATAAACAAACAAACAAATACTAGGCATTTGATAGTGCTATGCAGAGAATTAAAAGAGGTAATACCATTTTTTAAAAAGATTTTATTTATTTATTTGAGAGAGAGAGAGCACACGAGCAAGGGGAGGAGTAGAGGGAGGGGGACAAACAGACTCTGAGCTGAGTGCCAAGCCCATCAGTGGGTTGGGTCTCAGGATCCTGAAATCATGGCCTGAGCCGAAACCAAGAAACCAGGAGTCAGATGCTCAACTGACTGAGCCATGCAGGTGCCCCAATATGTACTATAATTAATAATAGCATTTTTAGATCTGGGGATCAGGGACGGCTCAAAGGACGTGAGACTTGAGCTGATATCTGAATGACAAGAATCAGACTTGGGAAGATAGACAAGAGCCGATGCCAAGACCCTGAGCAAAAACAAATGTGTCCAGTTTGAGGAACTGAAAGAGCCATCGTGTCTGGGGAACACTGGGTAGGGGAGGTGTGTGAGGTGAAGACATTGCTTCTTCCTTCAGGAACTTGTGGTGAAACAGGTTTCGGTAGTCATACGGACCGTTCCTGACACTTCTCTTTTGGCAGAAGCCCTCAGAGGATGACAAATTCATAATATTCTGCAAAGCAGAAAAGTCAGGACTTTTTTTCCCCCCAGAATTAAGTGTCTCTCTTTTTTTTTTTTTCCTGTAAACTACAATTTTTTCACCTGTAATCAAAGGGACTGCATAACCATGTTAGCCTTAGAGAGAAAACAGATTTAATGCCTATTCCATAGAACCAGCCATGCCAAAAAATCGAAATCGTTCTCCAAAATCAAGACTTACTTGTCCTTCCCAAACTCGAATTTCCCAGGCCCAATTCGAAGCAGACTGCCACTGAGCCACTTGGGAAAATGTCCTCGGACTTGAGCAGAGACCACCTGTGGCGTCTCCTCCACCGTGGTTAGCAGCGGTGTAATACATGGAAGCCCCTCACGCTTACCGACCGCTGCCTTCTTCTGATCGGTACCCTCCATGTATTTTTTTCAAAACTGTGAAGAGGAAATCAAGAGCACAAAAAAAATTGTATAAGATATGTGTTTCTCCATAGACAATACTCTTACCTACTGGTAAGGGAAAAGTAAACCCAACACCAAATATAGTCTCCAAATTCCTCTCCTTCCTCATTCTCAAACTGTCACCTCTCTGGTTCTCCATTTTTGAACTACAACAATCCCCTTTTTTTTGTATTCTTGCTGTACAAATCTGCCTAAGAATTAACTCAGGAATGTATTATTATCATTTCTCCTGGTTGAACAATGCTCTTCTTTTCAAAAGACTGAATCTACGTATTAACCTTAGATGTGCTAAAAGCAACCCATTGTAATGATAAAAAATGACCACTATTCATCACTATACTAATTATATTAACCAGAATGGGATGCCAAAGATTTCACAGCAACTTATATGAGAATTTAGTAGGATGTAATTCAATTTCTTCCACTTTATTGACATATGCATGAACTTGCATGGCATTTTCAGAAGGGTGTCATGAACTGAATTATGCAGTGATACCTGGTCTGAAATTACCTGAAGTTCAAAAAGCCACAGGAAGAAAAAAATCATTATTATATAAGAAGCTGAAAATTATCCTTTTTATTTCATATTTATTTGGTGTTCACAAGGCAGTGTTGCCTAACACAGAGGGGTGGTCAGATATGAAGTTAATTAGTGCTTTATTTTATTTCATAAAATTTTAACAGTAATATAGAGTCTAAACTAGAAAAACTAACACACAGAGAGACACTATTCCTCTGAAGAAGTGAGATTTGCATTACTTTAGCAAAATATTTTACAATGTTATATTTATTATCTCATTTCTTTCAAATCTTTATAAAATTCAGTTTAGAGTACATGATTCCTTCTACTTTCCTATACATAACAATTCAGTCAAAGCCAAATATTTCCTGCTTTCCCAAATAAAATTGACTAATCTATCCCTAAGGAATGCTACTATTGTTCAAATTCTATCTTAAATGCTACCTCCTTTATGAGGAAATGTAGTGTAATATTTAATAAGAGTACTGTCCCCGATTCTGCTGGGGGTCAAACTGCTTGGTTTCAAATCCTGATCTGCCATTTTTCAAATAAATAGCCTTGAGCAAGGCAACCTCTCTGTGCTCTGTTTCCTCCTTTCTAAGGTGAGGATAATAATAATTCTTATTACTTCTAAGATTATAAATAACAAATAGGTTATATAAGGTTTTTAGAACATAGTAAATGCTCAAAAATGTTAGCTATCATTATTTACATAGCTTTTCATGATCAACAAGATGTAGTATCATCTTCCTTCAAATTATTTATTCAGGGATAAAAAGTATTCAAACCTGATGTAAATGAACATACAAACAGACCGTTTATACTGTAATCAGTGTCTTGTTTGAGCGCTGTCTCTCTAAGTATGGTCTGAGGACTACTTGGAACAAAAATACGTGGTATTACTGTTAAAATGCAGATTTATGGACTCCACCTTGGACCTAATCAGAATTTTTGGGATACAGAAAGCAAGCATTCTTAGGCATATGAAAATTTGAGAACCACAATATTAGGGGTTAAAGAGGATGCTTTGAAACCCTTATCTTACTACTTTTATTTATATTATGCATATTCATCTCACTCTCCTTTTACATTAAAATAAACGTCCTGAGGTCAGTTATTTTAGTCCTCTCACTTTAGTGGAATTAAATTGAATACCCTGATTGGACATTTGTCTGAATAGAGATTCATGAATTTAAAACATTTCACATTTTAGAAAAAACTTACATGTCTATATGTACTGTACTTCATAGCATGTTATTGGCCGTTTTTCATATATTCTTCAAAATTTCCACCGTACTTGATATTGTGATCTATACCTCCTTAATCCCCTTTCTAGTCTTGGTTCCTGAAAACACTGCACTTGTCTAACTTCCTTGCTCCCTCTTTGTTTGCTTCACTTATTAGCTGACAACCTTGGTAAGTTCCTAATCACTCTGAGCCTCGAGTTTTTCAGTGATAATGGGGGTAATGGGGATGAAAGAAGGATAATACTTCCCATTTATGTTTGTTGTCGTAACTAAATATGGTAGTAATTTCTAAATGTTAACTCCCTTAATTGGCTCCTCTTCCCCCTTATCACCTCCTGAGCCTGACCTTGAACCTGGACTCTTTATAATCTCAGCACACCCTCCTTGATAGTCTCATCTAGTCCCTTAATTTTACCAAGTACTTCTTGCAAGTGACTCTCAGCATGTCAAATGAGAACTGTTCATTTTCACCTTTCCAAATCCACTTTTCCCACCTGCTAAATCACCTAGCTTCAAAATCTCTGTGGGCCTTGAGTTCCTCTTCTTCACTGTCCCCTCACATTCACTAAGTGGTTAAATTCTGACTATATCCAGACAGGGCCAGGAAGAGAATGCTACAGGGATGATATAGGGGGGCCAGTATAAATTACTAAGGCTCAGAAGTTTACAAGGGTGCCTTGGGCAAATCCTTTGTAAAGATTTGTGCTAGTCCACACCACCCGGGCAGCTCCCCCAATTTTTCTTCCGGCCCGAACCTGTCCTCCTCAGCATCAGTGCTTCAACTTCTCCTACCCATCAGTCATGCCCTTTCTACTGACCTAATTAAGGCCCACACAACCTCTTAGATGATATTATCAAAATCTCTTAATTGGAAGGAGAAAACAGGGAAGTTATCTACTATGGGAGCCTCCAAATGGTTAGGCCTCTTGATTCCTTTATCCCTTGAGATGGCTAGAGGCCATAAGCCAATTGCTTCCAGCCCTAAACAGCACACGGGGCTCCAGATCCCATCGAGGTAAAAATATTATCATTTTCTATGTGTGCTATGATGTGAAAAAAGTTGGGAAGCACTGCTACTAAATTAATCTTCCTAAGTACAGATCTGACTGTATCAAATAATCCTCCAAAAGCCTTCACAAATGACTCCTCACTGTCTACCAGGTAAAGTCTAAACTGCTTGGCCAGGCACTGAAGACACTGTACAATCTCACACCAGCTTACCTGTCCACGTCCCCCCTCACTAATGCCTTCCATTCCAGCCAAACTAAACCACTCCCCATTCTCTCCTCTTCATCATAATTATATCCTTCTCTTCATCTAGGATATTTCCCATCTCCTCCAGGTGAAATTCACTTACCCTACTCATCCTTCAAGATCACTGAAGATCCAGTGTCCACATCACCCACTTCTTAAACACAACATTCCCATTTCCTATAGCAAGAACTGATTCTCCTTAGTCTGAACTCACACAGCACCTATTTCAGCTCTGTTACGGCACTCATCTTACTCTCTCTTGTGCAATAAAGATGAATACAATTTATAACCTCTACTACTGGTACTCCTTGAGTAAAGGGTCACTTGTTTCTACTCCCACTCCAGTACCTAAAACAGTGCCTTGCGTACTGCAAGCACTAAATTATTGAATTATAGAATTTTCAAGTTTATAGTGCATATTAGTAGGATTTTTGATAGCTCAACACCAGCCAATTTCAAGAAATAAAATCATGTAACAATAGTAGCTGTAATAGAAAGCTATAAAACCAAAAAAACCCCAGAATTTAAGAATTTAAGGCAGTCCCCCAGAATGCAAACAGAAGAACCGAACATTTACATTAGGACATGTAGCAGTGATTTTCAATTGAGAAGGTTCTAAATAGTGACTATTCTTCCTATTGCAGATCCAAGAGAATCCCTACACCCTGAATCCTGCCCCATATGTTATACAAAATATATAAATACAAGACTGCTTCCCTGACAGGTAAAGAAATCGACTCATTCTTCCTTAACTCTCAGCTCTGTGGTGTTGCTGCCTGTATCTGCTACGGTGAAAAGCTTAGAAGCCCCCAGTACTCTTCAGAAAGAGGCACAGAATTAAAAGCCTAAGCTGCTAAGAAGAGGAGGAAGGGGGGGGGGGGGGGAGGCAAATCCCCTACCTGGGATCGAGTGTACTACCACAGAAAGCAAGCCCACTGCAATGGTAGAAAGGTTGCTGACAAAATGGAGAAAGGTCTGAAAAAACGTTCTGGTATTGAATTAAGCAACAGATCCTGTGATTTCCAAAACCTCCCAGTTAACTTCCTGGGCTGTCCTTGGCTCACTGACAGAATAGGAGGGAATGGGGGAGGAAGCCAAGGAGGGCAGACAAGGGACAGGGCTTCCAGAACCTGCAATCTCTCCTGTTTGGCCGCATTTCCAGAAGTATCCCAATTACCTACTTATGATAAGTAGCTGTTTGAAATTCTGAAACTGGACCACCAATGGTGGTCTCCCTTCCTAAACTTTCTTCTTTCAAACCTCTTCTCACATTACGATTAAGCGCCTTGATCCATGGCTCAGTTTCATTATGCCACCTCTCGCCTCTGAAAGAGTCATATCTCTTTTCTTACAGAATAAAGTCCAATTGTAGTCTATCAACAAAGGACTCTACAATCTGGCCACACCTACCTTTCCATCTTTGCCCCTCTGCTTTCTAGCATTTCATCCCTCCTTTTCTTTTCCATTTATATAATTTACAAAACAGTTTCTGACAATATAGTACGAATAAGGCTCTGTGAAGGTATGCCCTTGATAAACATATAATCATGTATATTTTTATTCATTTAACGCTTTTGAGCACCAATACATCAAATACTGTGCTACAAATTAAGAATATAAGGAAACAAGATTCAGTCCCTGCTCTCCAGCAGTTTAGATGATGCCCTTCGTGAATTCTCAGCTCAGGAAAAATCTTATCTAACATAGCACGTACTTTTGTTCTTCGGTGCCATTTTAACAAACTTTCTCCTGTTTGAAATATCCTCCCTCTTTCCTTATCAAAAACCCATTTCACTACCTCTCTGACCCCTTTGCAAACTCTTCTAGTAACTTCCACCGAAAGGAGTTAACTAGCACTGCACAGACACACTTCTAACATTTACCTATCATGTCTTCCTAGCAAAGACATGTAAGTGTATTTCGAGAAAGGAGTGTTGACAACTGTCAGAAGGGAGAACAAAGAGTTCCTTAAACTATGCTGTATTCCCCATAGTGCCTAGCAGATATTGATGTACAAAGACATTCAATATCTATTTTTATTGGTAAACAGTGAGAAATAATTTATAAACTTGTGAAATTTTATTGAAATGAGTATTAGAAGTGTAAATTAAAGGGCAATAGCATATCTGCAGTTGTTAATTATTCAGAGATAATTATTGTTTGTGTGGATGGTACCAAAGACATCAAAATTTGATAAAAAATCAGTCTTATCGGCTGTCAAGAACTTTTATCCTAGGATGTAGCTGTTCTGACCAGTAAACACATTGTGACTAAAGATCGGTTCCCTAGTCTTAATCATACCAAATGAAATGATCAAACCAATTCTCTGAGCCAGCATAGGAAAGAACATATTGAACAATGGTGACACCATCAAGATATAACAAGCACATTATGAAAAGCCCTCTGAAATAACGTTAGCCTTGTCTTTCTCATTAGTTAGTAAGTGTGAATTATGATGTGTCAGTAGAGACATCTTTGTATTTAGAACACTAAAAAATTCTGTAAGTTAACAGAATAACTCAAACTCCAGGAGACATGTCATATTAACTCAAATATAGTCTTCTGTTTACATTCAGTATTTTAAAATTCAAATACTAATAGTTACTTCATTGACCTCCAACCTACCCTGCACCATTAGCATATCCCTCTGCAAACCTAATTTTTTCCACTTAACCAGTATTTTTAGTTAATATTTTATTTTAATGTTTTCAATCTTTTCTTGAGTATTTATGTAATGTGGTATATATGCTTTAAAATAGTAATCTGATTGCTGTTTTATTTATCAAATGAGATTTTACCATTTAGAAGGTAGCAAGGCAAATATGCTATACACCAAAGGAATACCAAATTCCCTGTGGTGCCATTTGTAAATATGTACAAATTTGTGATTACTTATATTGGTAAAATATACATAAAATAGATTGAATTATCTATATGATTGAAAAATGTGTGCTGTGATTTTTAAAAACCTGATTAATATAGTTAATCACATCTAATAGTTATCATATAGAATTATACAACATATTAAAATTCTTCAATAAAATCATAGCAATACCTTCCAACTTGTTTTTAGAGGATTTTTTTTTTAAGCTAGAGGAGTTTTAGAGATCCTCTAATTGAAATTCAATTTATTCAATTTATAATAGGTGTGAAATGACTCACCAAGGTTACCTTGTTGTTAAGGCAATCTTTTTACTTCTGGATCACTAATTTTTGTCCCATGCCACACAGATGCTAAGGCTCTAAATATAATTTATTAACTTCATCATTGATACGGTTGATATGTAAAAAAGCCAACTCATGTAAGGTTCTGGTTAGTAATTTCTCATTTTTATTTTATCACTTTTACCACAAGAAAATAATTTTAAACCAAGAATTTTTATTAGTCATATAGAATAACTAATAGTGAAAATAATCAAATGGTAACATTAAATAGCAATACCTTAGTCATATTTTATTACATATTGTGAAACTGGACAAATTACCTTGAGGTTTTAGCTTTTTATAATACTGCCATGAAAAACATTTTTAAACTATCTCCATAGCTATCTGATATTTAGACAGAGTATTCTAAAAGAAAAAGTGCAATACTGTGAAATATTATCAAATTAACTCACTGAGTCTTCTTTTAGGATTTTAAGAAAAGCTAGGAAGTTTAAGGGGAAAAAAGAATCTATATGTAATTAAAATACTTTACACTTTTATGAAATATGCCAAATATTTAACCCTCAAAAAAAAACTACATACTTCATATTAATGTCCAGTCTAAAGCCCCTTTTAAATCTAGAAAAGAAATTCAAGGACTCTCCCCTTCTATGTTTAAGGCACACATTTTCTTTAACAACTAGAGAGCTTTCAGAGCATAAATGTCATTCTTTTAATACAACAACAATGGGCTTAAATTCTCGGCTTATTTTAAGTACACAATTTTATTTGTGCAGTGTGTTTGCAATCACTGTAAACCTCTGTCTCAGGAGCTCTCTTTTTTGTATTAGAAAGTTTTCAATAGTATTGGCTTCTTTGAAGAGTCCATCTAGCTCGTCAATATAAGATGCATCTACTGCTGCTCTCTCACTAATGAGGAAAAAAAAGTATTACATTAAACTAAATAGAATGTCTAGTGACACTATCACAGTGATGTTCTTTATTATGTTATACTTGTTAGCTACTTCATTTAAATAGCTTTGTACGTCAAAAAGCTTCATTAATTTAGAAAGTCTTCAGTAAAAGTTAAATTAGTCATGTAAATATTTTTGACAATTCAGTCTCCTGACACTGCAGACTATGTATCTTATAATACATTGTAATTCTAATATTAAACTATATACATTATTTTAACAACCACATAAACCATCATCCAAACACAATGATTGTCCAGTAGTTTAAAAAAAAAAAAAACTTTAAAAAACAAAACAACAAAAAAGAACATCTTATAAACATGATAATCTCAGGCCAATAAAATATTAAACTCAGTCTTCAAATATAGACATAATATTTAAATATTTCATAAATATATTTATCTTTAATATCACTCTTATTAGCATTATCTTCAATGAATGGCATTTTTCTCAAATAAGTTTTTTCATCAAATGTTAAATGTTAGATCATCTAATTAGAGACCAAAATACATCCAGCTTAGTCTTTAGTTCTGGTAATAACAAAACAAAGGATGTTTCGTGTAAAAGTTGGGGTTATTCTTTGAAAATAACCAACTAATTTATTATAAAAAACTAAGGTAGAATAAAAAACTCTGAAATTACAATTTCTGGATAGGTTTGCAGCCACTGAACTAAACTTCTCATTATGGAGTTTCCAGAAAAACATTATTTCTAAGAGAAAGACTCAAGAGTATATGCTATAAGTACTTGCCTTAAGATCTTTGCATATGTAGACAACATTAGATTAATTTCCTTGCTCATATCTGTTAAAAAAAATTACTGTTATGAACTATAAACTTTCTGTATTATAAAATCAGTATTTAGAAATATATGCATTTTATGTATCACCATTCAAATCTTTCTCCAGGGATTCATCTTTATAAAACAGTCCAGAGCTTTCCAAGAAAGAGGAATCTGATTTTCCAAGAGAGGACAGTTGTGGACTATCTGGCATTTGAGGCTAATAGAAGAAAGTAAAGAAAACAGATAAATAGTCAACAAGATCCTTAGGAAATATGTATTCTGTCCCCCAAAAAGGCAAATAAAACATCTTTCAGGAAAAAAGCAAACATGCTAGAAATTATATGCATTCATGTCCTAATGAGTCATTTGAAATTTTATTATCAAGAAAACTTTTAGGCCTAACAAGCACCTTGTCGAACATACTAAATTTTGCTTGGTTTTACATTACACTTTGAATATATTAATTCCTTGATGAAAAAATTTCCTGTATCTTGAACCAGCAGATGTTTCCATAGCAATACAGTAAAACTTTCATTTAGACAATAGCCAAATGCTTGCAAAATTTTGCAAGATAACATAACCTTTAAAAGGAAGCAAATAATGTCCCAAATGCAAACAGATGGAGTAGTGAAGAAGGGCAGAATGCAACACTCTAAATTTTAAAATATCAGCAACTATAGTACCTAGGTATCCTACTTTTTAGAGCAAAACAATTACTTAAAATCCTATGTTTCATATAGGCACGAAGCCATTTCTGTTTCTCCCTCATGAATTACAACAAAGAAATTCCATCTCCCAATAGTTTCTTGAAGGCCTATACTATTTAGTGAAAAAAACAGATGGAGTCAACATAGTTCCCGCTGGGACAATCCCACTTCGGGAATATGAAAACATTAAATTTCATTCATCAACAGAATTTTCTTAAGTAGAAAAAAATTTGAGAAGTATAAAAAATAAAACCAAAGATTAAGGCTCCAGGAGCATATGGATTACCTCCAGTTCTCTTGGTCTCTTGCAATTTCGAGTATCAGGTTTTAAAATGTGACTTGTCGTCATATTCTGGAGGCAAGAGCTGAAAGGTTTAGAGGAATGCCAAATTTAGTACAAACTCCATGCTACAGCTTTTTTGAGTCTTTCCTGTTCTTTCCAGTCCCACCAATTTATTTCAGGCTCTCATTGTTCTTTTAGGCTCTCATTATCTGTCACTTACCTGAACTACTCACTTTCTCCCTGCCTTATTCCATCCTATCAACTGCTGTTTGGGCAATCTTTCAAAATTGATTACCATATTTCCTTAACTCAAAAACCTTCCCACTATTCACTGCTCCAGAACGAGTTCAATTTCCATGGTATGGCCGCCCAAAGTCCTACATCACATGGGGTCAACCTACTGTTCCTATGATTTTCATCTACTCCCTCAGCCAAACTAGTCTCTTGGGCACTTGTGCCTGTTTCAGAATTTAAGATTCCTCTACTTTCAAAAAATATTAATGTTAAAATATATCTTATAGTTTATCTAATTCAATGTCATTTTTCACAGATATGAAAACAGAGGCAGAGATCGTTGATCAGGTTCAAACAAGTAAAACTGAGCCAGACTAGAACCAAGATTTCATGTCTGACTTTCCACTGCCCTATCTTACCTTAATATAGCATCAAATTTTACTCTTAAATTACTCTCCCATCAACTCTGAAAATCATTTCCCTAGGAATCTGAAAGATTACGTTTAAACAAAAAAAAGACGTAGAAACCTACAAGGGGACAGCCCTCATGTCTTAAACGATGAGGAGCCGAATCTATACTCAATTATTAATTTACTTTGTTTTTTGGTTTTGTTTGGTTTGTTTGGTTTTTTTGCAGAAACTATGACGACCTGGATAACTGTAGTGAAACTGATTAGTCATACGTTCATATAAATAAGACAGAAAGATAGCAACAACAAATTGCAATTAAGAAATTCCCCGTAGTGCTCCTACATTACTGTCAGTGCGTTTCCAGCATGTAAGCGCTGTGATAGCAGCATGCAGAAAAACACTACACGCACACTGTCTGCTCACTTTGCCTTGGGAAGTTCCAAAAGAGAAGCAAGCCAACGTGAGAGCTGTTCTCTTCTCCCTTCCCCTTTTTCTCTTCCGTTTTCCTTCTACACCTCTTCTCTCCTCTCTCAGAGTAACAGAATGTGCCTGTATGGCAAATGAAAACTTCTATAGTTAGGGAACTCTGTTTCTGCAAAAAAAAAAAAAAAAAAAAAAAAAAACCACCCTCATTTTTTTTTCTGTCATAAAATAAGGCCTCCCTGCTGAACCCAGGCTCGGTCAAGAGGCTGCGGCTCCTCCTGGGACACCCCATTCGCAGATGCTAACCTGGGCCATGCAATCCAATGCCCTGGTGACCTAGACTTTACAAAGCAATGACCCTGCACCTTACGCAACTTCTTTCGCCTACTCTTCTCTTTCTTCTCAACGCCTAGTGGGCCCCTGGGGCCATTTCACCTACCTTTTTCTCACTTCCCTCCCTGCTGTCTTTTCCTCCCTACTTGTATTTAATCCCCCCACGAACATCCCTGAGAGGAAGCGTCTATCCTCTCACTGCCCGGTTTCTCACTCCAAAGTGCACGCATCCCTCCAGCCCCACCCCAAGCCCAGTCTACTACATGGCGTCGTGACCTTCCTCCTCAGCGAAAGCGCGGGAATGAAGATACCGCGTTCCCGCACTCGAGTGCGCAGTCTCCGCGGACTCCCAGCAGTCAGCGCGTGAGTCACGTGAATCACGTGAGGTGCTGCGCAGGCTCCCGGCGCCCAGCCAAGAGTCCTCTGGCATTTCGCAGAGGGGCGGCTTTCTTCCTTTCGTCTCCCGCTGTTCCCCTGGACTTGTTACCTCTGACACAAACATCTCTCCTTGCCTCCGAGTGTGTGGAGAAGATGGGAAAAATCTGAGACTAGCCTCTCAGGAAAAAAAAAAAGAATTGCCTAAACGAGGCTGGGTGGGGTGTGTCCCACCCTCTGGCAATGTCTGTAAAGGAACACAAAATGGGACACCCGACACTACTACTCAAATAAAACTATAAATATTCCAGATGGTTTGTTTGAAGGAAGTTTGAAGGAAGCCAGAGTTCTCCTGGCTCGCAACTTCCAGACCCAGACATCCATTCATTCGCCTCTTTCTTCTCTGATGCAACCACACTTTAAGAATCACACCCTTCTGGAAGATTCCTTTCCTGATGTCAATAGGTTTGGTCACCTTAATTGGCAGCTTTTAAAAAATACTTTCTAACATACATGGCTCACATACTTCGCAGTGCTTTCATGTGGCGACTTTGACCTGCAATTTCAGACATTCTAAGGTTATGCACAGTTAGTTGATGTGGAAGGAAAAAAATATCACCTCATAAAACAAAGGTCAATGACATCGTCCATAAATTTCAGGTACACACTCTTGCACCTTAGCAAACTACAGTCAACAAGGTTTTTTCCCTTTGGTTTATCTCAATGTTAGTTGACGTAAAGAATTCTGTGTGTATTTTTTTTTTTCCTCCTTGTGAGAAAGTCATTCGTTTTAAGTAAGTTCCCAGAAAATAGGTACTCAGTTTAACTTGATTTGCTAATATTGTGATATATAAATCACTTAATAAGACTGGATTAAATATAGGGAATTATTATTGACAGTCTTTATAGGATCCCAGTCACTCTTTGAGGACTGATAACAATCTGTGTTGAAATTTTTACTATGTGTGTAAAATGAGGGGGAAAAGTAATGAGTTTTTCATAAAGCCATACCATCTCTTGAAAGAATTGTCCTTTACTCTGGTATTATGTACTTCTTGACTTTTTTTTTTTTTTTTTTTTTTGGTGTTAAAGTGGTCATTCATGAAATAAAAATACAAAGATTTTTAAGATATTTATTGCTCTTACTTGGCAAAATATAAAGTTGCCCACTCAGTGTTTATCTCTTCTGCATTATTATCATTATTGTCATTACTCTTTATAGTCCATTAAACCCAAAAGTCTGGGAAATACTCATCTATTCCTCTTCTATTCACCTTGTATGATATCTAACTATATAGTTATCTAGTTCATAAAATATTTCAAGGAAAAGTGATTCCACCGAATACATAAATGTTTACACCAGATTAAAAGAACACCAGAGACATTTTATTTTATTTTTAAAATGTTATCTCCACTGCATAAGCTAAATGAGTAAGAATAAATGAGAGTGTGTGGAGAGTTATAGTTGTCTAGTGCTTTAAAACATTCAAAGGGTTATCTTCATCTCATTTAATCTTTACAAATAATCCTGTGAAATAGGCAGGACATGAAGACATCTGAGTTGCTCTGTATCAAAAAAATGTTTATCCCCAAACTAAGAAGTGGGTAAATTGTGCATTCTACATCTTTACAGTTGAAGAGAAATCATCAGGAATGGGCCGTTTAAAATTATTTTGTCTGGTGCTCTGCTTCTGATCACTACTGGACTCCATTTCATGCTTTCATACACTATAGTTGGAGGATGGAAATCTGTTAGTTCAATTTCAATCATGTGTGTATTCTTATCATATACTTCTTAAATGTGTGATTTTTCTTCTTCCAGTAGTCTCTGCACCAAGCACCTGTGACCATCCCACCACAGGCTTCCTTTGTAATCACTGCTGTGGATGTGATGTATTTATGACCTTATAAAATGAAAACCCTATTTTGTTAAAAAACAAAACACCCAACTAGCTACTTATGGAAGCATTTTCCTTCCTAATTCTAGAACCCCTCTGTTTCTATCCAGGCTCTATACTGGCCAAAAAAAAAAAAAAAAAAAAAAGCAAAAACAGAAAGTCACTTTGCTAATTCCCTTGCTAGCAAGGTAATACAATTTAGCACATGTTCAAGAAAAAATTGTCCAAGGAACTTTGTTTCTGCTAATTATTTTCAAGGCTGTAATATTTTCCTCTCCCTTTTTAAAGTTACATTTTAGGTGCTATTATTACATTATAAGGGTTATTCTAATAGGGCTGATAATTCAGCACTGGAAGATAAGGAAGAACTTTTGTGCTTTAGTGTGAATAGAAAGTCTCAAAACAGGGCGCCTGGGTGGCTCAGTCGGTTAAGCAACTGCCTTCAGCTTGGGTCATGATCCTGGAGTCCTGGGATCAAGTCCCACACTGGGCTCCCTCCTAGGCAAGGAGTCTGCTTCTCCTGCTGACCTCTCCCCTCTCATTCTCATTCTCTCTCTCTCTCCCTCTCCCTCTCTCTCTCTCTCAGATAAATAAATAAAATCTTAAAAAAACAAAGAAAGAAAGAAAGTCTCAAAACAGAGAGAGATTAATGTGAGAAAAGATGCTTCTAACTGACCAAGCAGGTGCTTTTTTAAAAGGGCTTGGAGGGCACCTGGGTGGCTCAGTCGGTTAAGCATCTGACTCTTGGTTTCAGTTCTGGTCATGATCTCACAGGTCGTGAGACGGAGCCCCCCACCTCCACCGCTGTTGGGCTCCCTGCTCAGTGGGGAGTTTGCTTGAGATTCTCTCCCTGTATCCCACCCATGCTCGCTCTCTCTAAAATAAGTAATTCTAAACAACAACAACAACACCAATACACACAAAACTTTAAAGAAGGGAGAAGCTTGGAAGTACAGTACTTCTGAAAGAGGCACAAGCTTTGGGAGGGCCAGAACTCCAACTTTTACAGAAAAAATTATTTCATTAAAATAGTGATTTTACATTAAAAGAAGTAGTACCCATATTCTCTGACATTACTCTAAGTTCTATTGCCCTAGAACTTAGGACATTTGAAGGCGGGTTCAAGGCGTACCAGAACAGTCTCCTCCCTCCACCTTCTTCCTCCTTTCTCGGAGTCGCTTGGTCTCCTCCCCCAGAGGCTTGGTCTCCTCCTAGATGGCAATTAGAACTGACAACCAGCTCGCTCTGCTTTCCAAAGCAGATTTCTGCATTCCCAGCTGCCGGCTTCAGCTGCTGACGCGACTGCCACCTTTTCCCATCTCCACAGCCTCAAGAAAAGAAAGAGACCTCAAACTTTCCAGATCCCTTCCCCTCGTAGGAAACTGTCAAGCA